AGCGGTGGAAACGAAGTGGAGGCCCATTTACTCGGATCGATTACTCCACCTTTTTTTACCGACTGAGACGCAAATTTCAGTCAAACCTCCAGGATCAGGAGACTGAATTTCGTCTGATCCCTATCCATTGACCTTCCAGGTATGATAAGATCTCCTGGCTTGATAAGAACCATCCTCTATAGCTCGTTGGGTCACAGAGGTGCATAAGCCATCGCACCAAGTCAAGGGGCAGTCTCGTCACGATGGCTCTTAGCTTGACTTGGCTTGGTATTTTTCCACTTACTACCTGTCTTGGTGAAGATTGCCCGCCGTGGCAACCTATCTGGTAACATGCGTAACACATGTCCCAAACAACGTAATCTGTGGAGGTCGAACATTTTGTCCAGTGGGCGACCGCGGTTACCCAAAACTCTGCACCTAACCTCAGCATTGCTCGTCCGGCTGCCCCACCAGATACGTGCATTGCTGCCGGTGTTCAAACACCGGCAGTTTATCTTTATCCTGTCTCCTTAATGGCCAAGGTTTTGCTCCATATAGCAAAACTGGCCGAACTGCTGCAGCATACACTCAACCCTTTACAGACAGCCTGATTTCGCGTCGGTGCCACAGATGTCTCGAATTGGTAAACGCCAAACGAGTCTTCTGTAATGAGCAGACACTTCATCCGTGATGCGTCCACCGGGTGACATGTAGCTGCCCAAATGGCAAAACTTATTCATCTGCTCTATTACTTTCCCAGTTAGAGTGAGGCTGGGTGCTGAACCAACCGAGTCTAGTAGCTACATTTTACACTTTGAAGGTGCAAAACGCATATGGAACATGGCTACACTAGCACTCAAACTGGTAAATTATCTCCAGCTGAGGTCGAGCAAGGTTACCCCAATCGTTGCCTGTCCACCTAACCATCAGTTCGAGGGAGCTATTTTCTCTGTCCTTGAAAGAATTTGGTAGATGTTTCGTGACTTTTAACAGTGAAATATCAGAGAGATATAAAAACCAGGAATTAGAAAAATGCCCACCAGTGTTGTTCGTTAAACCTCGCTAGTCAGCGATTTGGGGAAATTTTGGTTACCATTATTTCTATCGCTATAAGTTTCTTTTTTTTTTTAACGCGTAGCTCATAAACTAGTATAACTGCTAGGGAGACTTCTGTAGACTGGGTCCCAAGCGGAAAATGGGACCAAACTGATGACTTCCACATAGTAGTTCAACATATTTGCCCATTACCGCTCAGTCTCCCCGTATCTTACACTAGTGTGGCCTTATGTCGCTCATTGTTCCAAGTCACATGGCTTAGATTGAAGGTTACCATAAGTGAACGTCGAATTCTTATAACTGTTGTCACATCAAAGCGGTAGTACATAGAAGTACAAAATTTTCAAGGCATCTGTTCTGGTTGCATTCATAAATCCCTGCAGTCATTATTTTGGCATGTCTGGATAATTAAACTGGGTGCATGTTGCCTCGCTGGTAAAGTATTTCATATTCCGTCAATTCACTCTGACCTGGACCTGCTTCAAACATATCAAACGATACACCTAGGAGTCCGGTCTTCAATACTGTTCAATTATTCGAACATTACTGTCTGTGTGGCAATCACCTTTCTCCACGCCTATAAAACTTTGGCTGTCAACCTATTGGGATACATTCATTGCCTACGATCACACTAGATTTAGGTGATTAGTTCAGTGATTAACCGAATTCTACTCACCTAATACCCTATCGTTGGTTCTTATTACTAGCAACCGCCTTCCAAGTCCTCTGCAAAGTCACTGGGGTCGTGTGCTCTGGAACATTTGCGATATCGGAGTCGAGGTCGTGACCTGCTAAATTAAAACTTAGAGCTGCTTTCTGGCTTCTAGCATTGTCTCTGATCGCTCACATTTGGCATCTATTTATCAACCATAAAGGTGGTTTTAGTCTATCCTCGCATTTCTGAAGTGATTAATCGAACCATACGACAGTGATTGCTTGGTCTACTTGACCATAAACTTTGATGTTCAGTGCCATCATTCGGTTCGTCGATTTAACCTGGTATTTGTGGCGAGTACATGAACGAACGTACCACATCGGTTTCTTTGAATATCTACGCCGTTATCCATACTCCACTTTTTAGGGAATCAAAGATACCATACGTGGTCTTCGACAATTGAATCCCCAACTATACGGTGAACACAGTCATCGCGTTCGTATTTATCCGCTGCACTCACAATTGGCCACATCCAGGCAACGAGGTCTGTTCGAGGTACCCCGTCCTGGTCAGCGCAAAATAATTGTCTCCACCAATATCGCCGAAACAAGGTATCCGTTTGTTGTCTTTGTAATCCAGTGGAATCTTTGACTTTATGATCTGTCAGTGACTAGAATTCATCCTGTGCATTGTTCACACTCGTAGAACACCCATGCTTTACGTTAATTGCAGGAAATAAAGTGATTTTCAGTGTTAAGGCCCAGAGTTTAGATTTCCAGTTTCCATTACCGAAACTACTATCTTGGTATTTGTGGTCTTTATGTTTTCTCCATTACATCACATTTCATTATGTATTCCTGTTGTTAATACTATCAGACGTTTATTTTGTACTATCTGTTTGGTGCAGTCTTACTCATTGCATTCACTTAGAGAGAGAGGTTGCTCTCTGCTTAGTCTGCAACATTCGAAGGATAATGAGTTAAAACAATGTGAAGGTGTCGTTCTATCATTTCGCGTGTAGTATAGATAAAACTACGAGTCCTGAACGGCGTTCACTCAATTGGGGATTGAGCAAAGGACCATAAAGCGAATTAACCTTTTTTACGCCCTTTCCTAAAAATCCTATAGTTTCATTATCCTTTTCTAATTAGTCTTCAAATATATACGTAGCTGTGTTTCGTTCTGTGATGTGTGTTGTGTTCCGTCGGATTACGTCAATGATTGCGGTTGTAACTGTGCACACCTCGCAGTTTTCCGAACGATTTCGTCACACCTGACTTGAGGTCATTGGAAACTGAAGGTATCCAGACAACTCGTCGGAATGATTCTTGCAAAGCCGCTGAAAGCATTTTGTCCATAATGATGGATGCTTTATGTGGTTGTGGCATAACATGATGAACTATGGAAGTTTTTCGGACTGTCTATCCCAATCCATGAGTTTAACAATCGACTAATTTTCAATTTTGAATTACTTGCTGATTCCGGTTATTTTCCAGTTGAACGTCCATTGCTTTCTCTCTCCCTCTCTCTCACACACAGTGTGACCATCGAAGATGTGGTCTATGTGATCGATTGTGGTCGAATTAAAATCACGGACTATGATCCCGCGTGCAACACATACTCATTAGCTCCGGTTCTTGTCAGCAAAGCGAACGCTGCTCAACGTCGTGGTCGCGCTGGCCGGTAAACAAAAACAAAATGACTTATTTTGCCTCGGCATATTCTGTTTCACTAACTTATCTCTAGATCATGATTTGTCATGCTGTATGCAAAGATGGTTGTGTTTTGTTCTCTGTTTATCGAAATAAAACGCTTCATGATTATGTGCAAGCACAAACACAAACTACCTAGTTGGTCGTAATACAGTGAGTAAACAATCAGTGGTCGCGATAGTCAGACAAAACGCCACACTGCCATTCTTGTCCACCGACTAATTGTGCAATGAATTTGTATTGGAAAATGGTGTTGATTACGGGGTTCGGAGATTCTGTTGATTGTTTTTTCTTTTTTTAATCACAGATGTGGATGGTTGAGACAGATGACACTGGTGAATGAGTTCAATACCAAGGCTCACAGTCGATTTCCGTAATAACTCTTTGTCCTTTTGAATATGAAATGTTCCAGAATTCGACACATTGAGGTGTTTTATTCAAGTAATTGAGGGTTCAATTTAATTCAATGATCAATTATATTAGTGTACAGAGCAGATGAAACATGACCTGAAAAGCTCGGAAGCAGCTGTTTCGACCTGGTTGGACTTCATCTGCCATGCGAACACACCGAACCAGAGGACCCACAGGTAGAAGTTTTCAGGCTAGTCACACTTTGTCTATACACTATACGTCACAACCCATCTCAACAGTCGTTTTGTGAGCAACCCACCTAGTCCATCTTACCGCTGTCCTCCGAGGCTGGGACTTGGTCGGAAACATTGCGAACCTAACAGCTTGTTATATTGATGTAGGTTTTAGGAGAATGATCGGTAGCTAAAAGTCCCATAGACTAGCTTTTTTCTGGAACAAAATTGTGTAGGCTAATGACGAAATCAGTTAAATATACATCCTTAAAACGTGCTTCGTTTCGTCTATCAGACAAGAAAACCGACTGACACTGATCCACAATCTCATCCACCTGGATCTCTTCCATATTTCTGATTTTCTTTATTAAGATAAAAGTGCTACAATTTGCAGTTGATAAGTTTATAATATCACTAATCACTCTCCCAATTACTCTCCCTCTCTCACTTATTCCAAGTTTATCGCGTAAACCTTAAAGTGCAGCTGTTCAGTTCTCGCAGTGTTGACTGAAACAGACGTTTACGAATCAATAATTCCATGAGAGTAAGGAGAGGATTTGATTGGATTATTTAGTGGATTTCGTCTCGCACAAAGCAAACGAAGCGTAAACTGCACCCTGGAGGCTAGTTCTGAGATGTGCGAGGTGTGATGCCCGCAACACGCTTGTAAATATGGGTTTTGTTACATCATTTACAAGCAAAATGAGAAGAAAAAACGGTTTGATCAGCTGCTCGATGATCAAGTGGAAGGTATGCTTGCGTTCTATCTGTGATATCCCGGGTTTGTTCATCAGTTGGGTCGATGGATTCCCACTGGTTGAAACAGCTGTATAGTGTTTACTCTGTTCATGGCCATATGGTTCTACTCCCGCGTGTATGTATGTATGCATGTATTTACTTCGAACTGAAGTCTGATCGATTCACACTTACATCGACTATTCTATTTTCGTCTCACCAAAACTCTGTGATATAGTCAGCTGATCTCATTATCATCGACCGTCTTCTTTTAGAGTTGTATTTCACTCTCTTTTATCAGTGTGATTCATTTTTGTTGTGCTGAGACAAACTTCTGATTATTTTGAAAGTTGTATGATAAACAAAAAATATCAAACGTTGTACGTGAAATGAAATTTGGTTGTTGTTGGTGTTGTTCCCTTGGTTCTTTGTAATTGTTTTTTTCTACGTCCTTTTCTGTATCGGACTTCCACTAGTTTGCTATTTTTGTTGCTTTGACAGCATATATATATATATATATATATATTGGTACAAGTATACAAATTAACTGACAAAGGATTACCGGATATGCATGCCGGCAAGTACCGCGAAGCCGGTCGTGTGCTTCCAGCAAAATTTTGTCCAGTCATTCACATACTACTGATTATGAAATATATGAATATGAAAGTTTTAATTTTAAAATTCAATTTCAAAATAGTTGTACTGTGCGTTTCGTCTCAAATGGAGTCTGGAATTGCATTTTTGGTGGAGTATTTTATCGTGGTCTTTAACAGTAGCTGTCTCTTCTTGAAGATCTTTCCGTATCTTTCGCGACTCNCTCTTCAGGTTATTGTTTGAAATCCCTAACATGGACACGCGGTATTGTCCTTAGTTCGGTCGATATTTACTGAATGAAAATGATGTATATTTTGTTCACTAATTCCGGATCACATGAAAAGTTCTCCAGATCGCCCTACTCTGCGCAGTGTTTTCCATAACGTGTAGGTGCACGCTTGCATGCGTGGAATGAAGCGGAACTGTGTTTGTGTTGATGGACAGCAGTTAGATTTCAGTTGCCGTATATAAGTGAGAATTCGATTTCTGCTTTTTAGAATATGACAGATCATGTATCTCGGAATTCCTGGTTGTTCTGTTAAACTTGATCAGTGTATTTGGTAAACAAAGAGGATAGAGAACAGATCCTGTTTTGCATTGATTAAATTGAAAATATACGAACAGCTTTTCAACCATGGGCGAGAGCCCACTGGCAAGTCAACGTTGGAAATAAGGGGGTCAGCACAAGAATTAAAGCTTCATTTACTGAGGTTCGTTGAATTCTGGTGTTTTGCGACAGTAGCGGAAGATTTCATTAAATGACATGGTGAATTTAGTCCTGTACAGGCTAGATAAAGTGCTGACTGAAAATCTAGGAAGCACTGCACATCTGTTTTCATCTGGTTAAGTCTCATTAGCACTGCAACTCTTAGTGCTCAAATGCACTCTATATGGTACCTGCACTAAGCTCACAAAGATGGGTTTGTGTAATAACTTATATAAGAAAAGTGAAAAATGGTCTGATCCGCTGCTCGATGGTCAACTACGTAGTATGCTTAAGTTTCACCTGAATGCTCGGGGGTTCGATCCTCAGTTGGGTCGGTAGATTCGCACTGCTGGCGAGACCAAGCCAGATCAAAACAACTGTACGGTGCTTTCTAATGTTTCAGTTCACGCCTTATTTCCTCTGTACATGACGAAATTTAGCATACAATCAAATCGAATCCTCTACTACCCTCGTGTATAGAAACTTATGCTTCGTGATTCGTTTGTGATGCACGGAAAACCATGCAACACATTCTACGTCATCATTCTTAATCAGGCATTCGGCCATTGAACGTTGGCGTAAAGCCAACCGTTTGGACTACTTGGGAGAATTTAGCCCGTCGACCTCCTGGAATGGATTATAATATGCATTAAGGCACACCACAGTCATACGAACAATTAAAATGATATGCGATACATCCCACTGTCGACACATTCCTAACCAGAAGAACACATTTCCCCAGTAATAATAATGATCTTTGACGCAACTAACCAAGAACTACTGTGAACTGTTACCGAAGATTTAGTTTGTCACTGAGGTTCGACCCGTTTTCATTGTACTGTCGTCAAATTTCTCCTTACTTCGACCTTGTTTTTGACAATTCTGATTCATCTCTTCTT